CCCGCGCGGCTTCCTCCTCGCCGCGCCCGGCCAGTCCTGCGCAGCCTGCCCGTCCTCCCGCGGGACCATGTCGCGGCTCAGCTGGGGATACGGCGAGCACAACGGTGAGCGCCTTCCCCTGCCCTGGCGGGGCTCCCGGGGGCCCGGGGCTGGGGCGGGGCCTGGCCGATGCCCCGCGCCCGCTGACACGCGCGGCTCGAACTTGCGAGAAACTTTGAGGTTCCTCTTGGCCGCGCTCCCTGGAGCCGCGCGCAGGAAGCGGGGTGCGGTGGGGAAAGCGTGCTTGCCGGGTGTGGGCAGCGGGGCTGGGTTTGCTGAGGGTGAGCTCGGTCTGGGGGCCCGGCCCCCATCCTCCTGTGTGCTCGGGCACCTTCCCGGGAAAAGCCGAGAGCTTTCCCTGCGAGCAGCCGCTTCCGCGGGAGGCTTGCACGTGAGAAGTCGGACGGCACACTTTAGTGCCGTGAGGACAGGCTCGCTTTCAGCCCGGTAAGCTCACTGCCCCCTTGGGAGAGACCGGTAGTGGAAAATCATGGAAAGGCCTTTGAGAAGTCCTGATGAGTTGCAGATGGCACCAAAGGTTAAGTTGGCGGCTTGGCAGCCTAAATAGCACGGAAGATTTCTCAGTGGCTGTTCTAACAAGGCCTTGGGTTCTTTCTGGGAGATGAAGTTACGAAGTTATATGTTGGACTTCACTCTTCTCCCCTTATGTTCATCGTTGCAGAGACTGAGGGCTAGCAAAGGATTACGGAAATTACAATACAATGATAAAAATGTGTTTTTGATAGGCGTGACAGTAATAAGACAATGATCATTTATATATCCTAAATGATCAGTAGTAAAACTTTTTTCTTGTTTGTTCATTTGAACTGATTGTTTCAAGTAATGATTATTCAAAATAATTGCAAACTGATATCAAGAAAATCTTATGTGGCATGACTTTCAAAATGAGGGTTGTGAATAATAATAGCAATAAAACGTCAATTAGAGGCCTATTATTGAACAGTACTGTATACTAAAATTGTGTAAAAACTTTGTTTTCACAAAGTAAAAAATTTCCTTTTTGTTGGTTTTCAGGTCATGCCAAGCTGGCCTAGAGCTTGAGATTTTCCTGCCTCTGCCTCCCAAGATCAGGGAGAAAAGTTCGGTCTCTATAGATAATATTGGCTATTTGATACAAAGTAGTTTTGCTTTTATTTTAATTTGGTTTGCCACTTCTAAAAACAATTATATTTGTAAACTACTAGAAACATTACAAGGCATTAGGAAAGAGTATGTGGTTATGAATCTGAACATGTTATTTAAAAAGTGGTGGCAGATGAAATTTAGAATTTTAATAATGAAAGATATCATTTAGATGAATTTCTTTTCAACAAACTGTGATTTTAATCTTACACTTTGTTAATTTCTAATTTGTGTTTTGGAAAAAACAAACTTAACATTCATTTCCTTTTCTGCTGGAATCATTTTGTTTGTATATTTTTATGGTATTGTGGATCAGACCCAGGGGTTTTTTACCACTGAACTACTTCCACAGCCTTTTTTTTTTTAAAAGATTAGGTCTCACTAAGATGCTTAAGGTGACCTTGAACTTCTGGTCATCCTGCCTCAGCCTCCCTAGAACTGTAGTTGCAGTATGTGCTACCAAACCTGGCTTGGAATAATTTTTATTATTTCTATTTAAGTGTTAGGAGCCATTGGTGTCCTCGCTGTGCTTAGGAAGAAGGTTATTACAATCACCACATATTGATTACACTTTAATATGTGAGAAAGTATTGGCTATAATGAAAGTCACCTTCAGAAATTTAAAAAATTCATCTCAAAGAAGACATGAACAAGAAGTGACTTTGTGTTTCAGCTAGGACTTCCCTTTATCTTCCTTTCCACTGGGCTGCTCCTTCCTTTCAGATTCAGTGGTTTTCTCAGTACCACACCTTTAAGTGGATGAATGTTGGCAAATCCTATTGGAAATGTGTTGTATCTTGATGAGGCATGTTTATTACTTTTTATCTCTTTAGACATTAGCCAAACCAGTGACTGAGCAGATTAAAGGAGGCTTTGACTGGGGCTTTCAGCGCTGATCAAAAGCAACTTCAGGAGGTGAAACCCTAGAAGGATACCACCTTCACACACCGCTTGGGACTTCTTCACTAACCTTTGCTCTTTGTATCAGTTTGGATTAGGCAATAGGACATCATTGAAAGATACATATCTATATCACTGTGGATGTTCAAAGGTTTCTGAATAAACCAAGGAACCATCTCTTCTTAAGAACTGGGTGTATTAAATGGGTTGAAAACTGGCTATTTTGGGAAATTTGCAAAAGAGAGGACCCCTTTAAGAGGCAGGGAAGTGAACCCTTTCTGATGGCTAGTTGATAATATTGATTATCTAGTATGTTTGATACAAAGTAGTTTTGCTTTTATTTTAATGTGGTTTGCCACTTCTACAAATATTTATATTTGTGAGGACTAGAAACATTCCTTCCCAAGGCGTTAGGAAAGGTATTGGGAAAGAAGTTCTTTGGTGATTATAGAACAGTCAGCAGCATGTTGTGACACATACTTTGCACATTTGAAATCTGATTCTGTTAGGTGAACTCATGTTTGGTGGCAGTGAAATAGAAAGCTTGAGATTTTTTTTTTAATTTTAAAGAGAGTAGTACATGAGACACAGACAAACAAAAAAACAGAACAGTAGCAGCATACCAGTATCACCAACATAAATCAAACCAAGAACATTCAAAGTCATACAGGGTCTCAAGACAAATTAATACAAATCAACAGTGGTTGTTACATTGCATATCGCTATCCTCAACTACATTGCTCAGATTATCAGATGTAAGAATGAAAGATTGCTCAAACCATTAAAGAGAATAAGAAAATAATTCTTCAGTAAATCATTAGAGATAATACAGAGCTTCACTAGACAAGATGGTAGGAGTTCATTGTAATTCCATTGCATGAAGGTTTAAGATTAGATACAGAAAGAGTACACAAAAAGGTAAATGAAAGCAGAAATAAGGAAATGTAGTATCTCTTCTGCAATACGTTCTACGGACTTCTGAATGCTCAAGTTGCTCTGAAGTCCAAAATGTCAGGTTCACAAGTGGACAACTGTTAAAGTTGAATGCACAGTTATGTATTCATGCTATCCCTTTCTGTAGCTCAAGCATATGTGAAACAGTGTATGCTTTCTCCTTTTCTAGAGTGAAGAGTTAAGAAACATTTTAGAGGTGATATATTTGTTTTTGTTAGTAGCAAATGTTTAACACTTGTCCTGCTCTGCTGTTTTAATTAGTACTTGACTTAGAAAAAGTGGTTATCGAAGTAGGGAAAAGCTTAGTCAGCCGCCTTACACACTACTCCCCTGGTGATAGCTGTGTAAATTGTAAGTATAGCAGAGAGGAGAACTTCAGAGTCTCACATCTTGAGAAAGACTTGGAGTTTACATGAAGGTGCAGCCTTGCTTTTGATTTTGAGAGGCAGAGCTTGAATATAATCTCTCAGAGAAATTAAGAGGCTAGGGAGGGAACTGTCATCTTCTTGTCTTATTTCAAGTTGACTATAGGACTCTGGTTTGTGAACCTCATGAAATTTTGTCTTGAATAGAGAGGATCAAAATGACAGCTGTCCCTTGTATTGGAATCCAAATATAGCTTGGTAAAATGACCCATGAAGGATCCTTCTGAAATGCAGAGAGAGAGAAATATATTGCAACTGATTCCACTGCAAATAACTGACAGTGTTCCATATCTTGCTATGTCCAGGCAGGGCAAGACATATAATCCATTTTATTTGGATTATCCTGTGTGAAAGATTTATATAGGACCTTGGCATGTCAATGGTACATCACAGGTAATGGAGTTAAGTGACACCAGAAAATCGCAGTGAATGGTAGAATAAAGAAGAAAGAAATACGGAGGGTAGCTTTAGACTGACGCCCGTTCTCTGCCACGTAGCTTTCTTAGCTTTCTCCCAGCCCTGTCAACCTGACCTCTAGAGCAACCACAGCACATTTCTGCATCTGAGACTGAACGCCTTTGTTTTCACTGATGAATTGTGCTGTTGTTTTTAGTTTGGTAAGTGGGTACCTCTGGGAAGTACTTTATAACAATTTACATGCTCTTTTGTCTTTGTGGGTTAGTTTAATTCTGAAAATGATTTAAGACAAAACAGGCTGTTACTATACCCATTTAAAAAAAAAAAAACAACTAGGTTTGTTTGTTTGAAAAAAAAAAAAAAAAAAACAACAACTAGATGTGAAGATCCTGAGAATGAGGGTTGTATTTTGTTAATCTTTGTTTTTTCTCTTCAATCTCAGACACCGTGCAGTGCACTTATGAAGTTTTTGCCAGATGAAATAACTTGGTCCTTTTCTCTCGGTCTTACTCTTTCAAGGTCCTATTCATTGGAATAAATTTTTCCCTGTTGCTGATGGTGATCAGCAATCTCCCATTGAAATTAAAACCAAAGAAGTGAAATACGACTCTTCCCTCCGACCTCTTATTATCAAGTATGACCCCAGCTCAGCTAAAATCATCAGCAACAGTGGCCATTCCTTCAGTGTTGACTTTGATGACACAGAGGATAAATCAGGTTGGCATTTCTTTCTTTGGTTCTTTTTTGGGGGAGATGGAGGATTTGGATGCTTAGACTGTACTCTTATGTTTTATATTTCATTAATAGTAGACTTAAAATTTGCTGAGTTGAAATATTTGTTTTTCTTCATGTGAATTGAGATGTCCAGTTATATATTTAGAACTTAAAATAGGTTACTGTGAAGTAAGGACTATTTATAAAAGGGTATGCTGAATAATATTTTAAAATGGATTTTAGCATACTATAACTTCACTTGGCCTTTATCTCTATGAAAATATTGAAGATTAATAGTAATTCTTAATTTGGTTTTGGAAAATTTTTATTCACAATTATTTTAATATTTATTTGCAAATTGGGATGCCAGTTACTATGTAGTTTAGTACAAAAATACTTTAAAAAAAATTATACTCTTTTTTTATTTTTTGTTTTTGTCTTTTTGAGACAGGGTCTCTCTATGCAATTCAGGCTCGCCTTGAGCTCCCTTTGTAGCCCAGGCTGGTCTCGAACTTGCATCAATCCTCCTACCTCAGCCTCCCAAGTGCTGGGATTACACCGCCATGCTCGACAATACTCTCTTATTTTAATTGCAAAGGTTATTTATACTTACAGTAGAAAATACAGAAATGTATGATAAAAATTAAGTCTCCCCCTATAATCTCTCCCAATGTAGCCAATGCTATACTCTATAGTTAAATGTTTAGCCATGGATAACCACATATATATCATGTTGTTTTGAATTTTATTTTTAAAAATAAATTTGGACTAATACTTTATTACTTTAAATTTTTTTTCCTATTTGAAAATAAATACATAGGTATCTTTCTCAGGTTCAAATATACAGATCTGACACTTTTTAAAATAAAAATACATTATATCAGCTATTCCTGTATCATAACTTATACAACATTCTCCTAACAATGGACATTTAAGAAGGGAGAGTACATGCTTAAATTTTTAAATGATGTAAATAGATAAATGAACCCTTCAAATAAAACTTTAGTTCATTTGTTAATTTTTTTAATGGTGCCAAAGTGTCGGGGGAAGGAGTAAGGGAAGAACTAGTTCTGTAACGTGAACTTGGCTGAACAAAGAGAGGAAAGGATAAAAATAAAAATAAAAGACACAGAATGGGATACTGAGGAGTCACGATAGCCCATTTGTTCATTTTCTAACTAATTTGAAGAAGACAACAATATTTTCTTAAGATGAACATTTAAGCATACTTTCTTTAAACATCCTTACTGCCCAGGTCTAGATACTGCCCAAGTATCATGCTTGTAAATAAGGCAAGAGAAAAGATTACATAGAATCATAATTTGGAAGATTTTTTTTTTTAGGCTCTGAAAAATTATTTTATTTTTATCTAATATTAAGATGTTGCTTTCTGTGTGAAAAAATGTAGTTACATTAAAAAAAATCCTTTACTGGAAGAAAGTTTTCATATACTCATTAAGCTCCAAATATTCTATATGTAAAACTATTGTTAGCAAAAGTTGTAAGTCTAGACAAATTCTTTTGTTGTATTCATCCAATTCATAAGAGTGATACATTTTACTAGAGCATTATGAAATCCATAAAGAGAAAATAACACATGGTGTTTTCAACTTTTGGCGGGAAAAGGGAGACCTTTTTTTTTGTATATATTCAGTTGTATTTCTTCCAGGTGTTTAGATGTAGCTCTTGCCATGGGTACTTTAAAAGCTTCTAAATACAAAGTTTATACTGCCTACAATTATCATTTGATACTGTGTATAATATTTCAGACATTAAAAACTTGAGGTTACTCACTCCTAGTTTTAGAGTAAGAAATTATTAGATTGTCCTTCATTTGAAACTTGAAGTCTTTTCTTCATATTGTAGGCACTTTTAGTGGAAGAAATTCTTAGTCTGCCTTGATCCATGGTGATCCAGATACTCTATCTGCCTTTCCCTCTCTCTCTTTCTTTGGCTTCCTTCTGCTCATTTTCACTCTGTGTTGGGCTAATCAGTGAAATAATTTTATCTGTGTTTTAGCATTTAGTTTGTGATCACTAGTGTGTGCCTTTTTGTTTACGTGAAGATTTCATTCCTATCTAGATCATTATGAGATTATCAAGATTAATTGAAAATGTTCATGAAGTATATACTTTGTACTCCTCTCAGACCGAAACTATATAAATATAGGCCATGATGATCATTCTGTTTTCAGGAGAAAGCAAAAGAGATTGTTTCATGATGATTTCAGAGGATAAATCAATCAAAAAGAAAAAACCGCTGTAGTTAAAATAAATTGGTGCCAATTTTTTTGTTGTTGTTGTTAAACTATCAAAAGCATGAGGGTACTTTCTGTAGCAAGCTAATTTGAATAGAACACTCTTCTCTTTGTAGAGAAGCCATACTGTTTTTAGAGCAAATTTTTACTAGTATATGTTTTGTTTGTGATCCGTAATAAATACGATATGTTCGTTCTGAGGTATTAGTGCATATGATCTCACACTTTGATCCTTTTTACTTTGTCTTCCCCCTCCTCTTCCTCCATCTTCACCATTCCCAGAAGCCTTTCTCATCTCTACAAAATCTGTCTCCTTGTTCTTGACCAGAATTAAGGGAGGGAAATCTTAATCCAATGAGGAAAGACAAAGCAGTTCATGCCCCAGTGACTGGTATTTCCGGATTTAGGTTGTCACATCTTTGGGGACTTCACCTGACTGGTTGTGCCAGCCGTGCTGTGGTTTCTAAGGCGTTTTAGGCTTGTCCTATCACAGGACTTTCTTTATGTTATAACTATCAGGTAAGGTTCTCTTATCTTTTCACTGAGCTAAAAGCTCCTGTTGATAATAGCTGATAAACTTAACTCTACTTTCTTATCTCTGTAGAACTCATATGAAAATATCATTTGGAATAACCTTTTTAAAGATATTGTAAATGACAGAGAAAATGGATTATATATGTCAAGTGCAACTTTATAGAAATGATCACTTATTGTTAAACCTAAAATGGAGACAGTAATACTTATTAACTAGGTTGGAAAGTAGGTTGACTAATTTGACACTTGAAAACATGAAATAACTTTTATTAAAAATAATTTCTCTTGTCATTATTAGCTTTGTACTGTAGCTAGTTGTTTTGTAGGCCATCTCAGAGTCAGTGTTACACTGTGATATATTAAGTCACTTTTCTCACTATTTTGTTTCTTTGGAAGAGCACCACTCCCAGTGAACGGTCAACTTTAAGTTTAATCATGATTACAATCCCAAATTGGGACATTTTATTTGAAACACTTTAATGTGGAGTCTACATATGTAACACGTAAGACACTCCGCTACTAACTAAGCAGAACATGTGCTAATCTGACTTAAAACCCTGGACCCAGCTCAGGCTTTCCAGAGATCAGCCGTTACTCTTAGATGTCTCCCTAATGTTGTGGGTTTTTTGTATCTCTTTCTTTCTCCAGAGCCAGCTTGCTGACATTCTTTCCAAAGTCAATTCTGCATTTATTTCTCAAGTTTCTAGTCTGTTTTCTTTTTATCCAAGAAGGACAGCTTTATCATTCTGCTCAGGTTTTGCAAGGGAAAAAATCATAAGCTGTTTTCCTTTGGAATTTCATTCCATTCTCAATCAATACAGATTATGTAATATGTACAGATTATGGGTGTCACTTAGGGAAATGTGCCTTTTAAATTAATGTATCTGACAATCGTGTCGAAACTGCTTAAAGACAAAATTTTATTCATTTGTTCATCTTCTGTAATAGTGACTGCGCTAATTGGTTGGTATAGAAGGGAATCTAACTCTGCTTTCATGAGCCCTGCCCTGTGGGAGAAGATATAATAACATTATTCTGTTTTAACAGACTAACTGAAGAGTAAGTGCTTATGTCTGATCTAAGTCGGTTTCTCTGTTTACTTTTCAGAGTCCTTTGAAAATAGCCACTTTTATGTATAAGGAAATCTGTATCCAAATTCTTATATAAGGTGGATCATTACTGACAAATTTTGAGAACATAGATGCAGGGTTTAATTTTTTTTTCATTTTCATAACAATGCTGGCGAGAGTACCATTACTAGCTCCAATTTTTAGACATTGAAGCTGACGTCTAAAAGTTAGATTTTGTCCAAGATCATGCAGTTATTAATAGAGAATATAAACTCCTGTCTTTCTTTTTTCTTTTGGGAGGATAATGGGGATTGAACCCAGGGCCTTTGGACTAAGGTATATCACTATTAAGACAAGATTTCGGGGTCTGGAGATTTAGCTCAGTGGCACAGTACCTGCCTGGCAAATGCAAGGTCATGAGTTCAATTCCCAGTACTGGAATAAAAACAAAAAACAAACAAACAAACAAAAAAAGATCTCACTAAGTCACTAAATTTCCCAGGCTGAGGTTGAACTTGTGATCCTCCTGCCCCAGCCTCCTAGAGTGCTGGCATTACAGGTGTGTACCACCATCCCTGACTAAACTCTGCTCTTCTAATTGCTGATACCTGTGTCTTCGACCTGAAGCAGTGGCCTGCTCTGCCAAGGTCTACCTGGGCCTCTCGACATGGTTTATCCTTGTTCAGAGAGGCTCACTGAAACAGCAATTTTTTACCTTTCAGAATTCCTAGTCTCTTCTACTTGTTGCAGTTTTCCATAAAAATCTGCATTATGGACCCTCTAAACCCTAGAAATGTTTTGTATCTACCTCTGTTATACTTAAAATTATACTCCTGTCAGAAAATTATATAACACATTTGTTAAAAACTTCCTTGGAGGACATGAATGGATTGAGTAATAATGCAGTTGTATAATTTTTTTCCTAATAACCACTTAACATGTGTTGGTGTTTAGTTCTGCGTGGGGGTCCTCTCACTGGAAACTACAGGTTACGACAGTTCCACCTTCACTGGGGGTCGGCTGATGACCACGGTTCTGAGCACACGGTGGACGGAGTGAAGTATGCCGCGGAGGTAAGCCCCCAAATGCTTCTCAGTGCTTCAGGGTTTTCTTAAGTGGTGGGATTTAAGGGACCCAAAGCATAACTCTCTTGACCCCAAGTAGAGTCTAAACCAGTTAAATATTTCAGTATCTGAAAGAGCTGTATTCATTCAGTAGCATAGTTATTGATATGAGAGCTTCAAATATGGCCCTGTTGAGCTTTAATCCAATCCTGAGAGCTGCCAGTTACATGCTCACATTTTAGAAAAGAGCAAACTGGAGACTTGGAACAATGGAGTAATCTATCCAGACAGGAAGCAATGAGATGGATTTAAACATAGGGCTGTCTCACACCAAATTAGGAATTAATGAGAGAGACAAAGTTAGGAGTGTGTCCCAGAGAGGCAGGCAGAGGCCACATCACACCTGTGCTGTTGGGTGTGCCTAGCAGTTTGGAGTTTATTCATTCAGCCAGGAGAAGACAATGGAAATTTTGAGGTGGGCAGTAACATGTTTTGTTTTATATTCTATGAAGTATAACTAGCTGCTGTATGGAGAAGAGGCTGTTGTGGGGCAACTGCTGAAGCAGGGAGAGAACTGGAAGGCTATGGGATCAGTTCAAGTGAGCAGTGATGAACATGTGGGCCGTGGGGCAGTGGAGGTGAGAGCTGGGCAGATGATTAGATTTGGGAGAGGTCGGGTGAACAGGACTTGCCCATGAAGAGGGTGTCAGCACAGAAGGAAGCAAAGAGCAGGGTCTAAAATGTGCCTTCCTAAGGACTGGGCTTGAGCAACCTGCAGGATGGGTGTGCAGTTTAGAGAGAGAAGTGAATCCAGGGAGGAACGGGTTGCAGAAAAGAAGTATCTTTCTGTTTTGGACATGTTAAGTTTGTGATGCCTATTTGACATTATAGGCTTCTGTTAAGGTGAGCCGTTGAATACACAGCTGGGTTTAAAGCAGAGGTCAGGGCTGCAGATGGTGGCTTTTGGGAGTCCTGGGCATTTGGTTTCAGCTTCAAAAGAATCCCTTGGGCTGCAATTCTAAAAACATCCCAAGGCGTTAGTTTTTTTAGGCACCCAGTATTACTTAAATTTGTGACTATCCTCAAGTTATGTCCTCTTATAAAACAAACAGACCAAGAAGAAAGGGGAAAGGGAGGAGGAGGACAATAAGGAGGAGGAATGAAAGGAAGAAAAAATCATCTGAAGCTGAATCACATAACAATTTACTTTGCGTCCTATTGACTGATGTGACATTACAAAGAGGGAGATCAAAATGTTCTAAAGCATGGCAAATGTTATCCCAAGAGTTATGCAGCTGCAGTACCTAGGCTAACAGTCCACTCTGTGTTTGGAACTTCAGATGAACACAGTTTATCCATAATTGCTTTGGTTTGGGTCTTTTTTGGGGGGTTTTGTTTTGTTTTGTTTTGTTTTCGGTAATGGGAACCGAACTCACGACCTTGTGCTTGCCAGGCAGGTGCTGTGCCACTGATCTAAATCCCCAGCCCCTGGTTTGGGTCTTGAATGTCAACCAAAGACCCATGTATTAAATGCATGGTCCCCAGTGTGGTTCTACAGGGAGCTGGCGGAACCTTTGAGAGGCAGGGCCTTGTGGGAGGTCCAGAGGTCTTCAGGGCGTGCCCTTGAAGAGGACAGAAGGACACTGGTCCACCCTCTTCCACTTTTGCTTCCGGCTGATGCTGTGGGCAGTTTTGCTCCATCACATGCTCCCTCCATGATGTCCTGCCTCACCACAGACCCCAAACCAAATGGACCAAGCACCCAAGGACTGGAAACCCAAAATTTGTGAATGAAATAAGCCTGTTCTCTTTATAAGTTGTTTTATGTCAGGGGAAGAGGAAGTATGTACTTAATCGTGAACCTGTCATTTCTTTAACCATGGCAATTTTGTGGCATAGTATTTGGCAGTGTATTTTACATTTCTCTAATATGCAGTTATAAACAATAAAGTTGAATAGCACTCTCATTTAGAAATTATTTTCTAATAGAGAAGAATCTTCTGTCCATTTTTGCAGTGGCTGCAACATCCTCTTGTCTCTCAGTTCAGAATCATTGCTGCTGTCATTGTTAGCCAGGAAATGTGAGTTTGCTATTTGTTTGAGTTTAATTAAAATAGAAATGTTAAGTTCTTCTGCGAAGGTATTGCTGCCAGTTAAGCAAGGGAGGAAGACTTTTGTTGTTGTTGTTATTGCCACTTTGGCTTATTAAGATTTTGTTTTGCACTAGTGTGCCACCATATTTCAAACAGTTGCTTTATTTTTAGCCAGCAGAAGGATGGTGATATACAGGAGATAGAGATCTTTACTTACATGTGAATTTTCTAATCAGTTGTTATTGTCACCCTTTGTACCACTTACTAAATGAGCCGATTTGCTGGCATAGAGCCATTTAAAACAACTCTCGTGCCCTTATCAGCCCTTCCCTGACAGTGGACTGTCACCTGTCTCACATGAGCCACATGTATCTGTTTCATCTTCCAGTACTTTCAGGTTTCTTTCCTCCCTCAGTTATCTCACACCAACCTGATTGTGCAATATTTTATTACTTAATTGGCTGCTTATGATACTTCTCATCTATCTGGAGTCTCTTTATATTAATTACCTGTAAGGTACAAAGTTATATTTGAAAAAGGAGGATAAAAGTACTTATTTGGGTATACTGAATTTTCTCTCTAACAGTCACTTCGAAGGTCAGTTGGGGCACGAAGGCCCATACACATGTTTCCTTCCTGAAGTACCAAACAGCTCATCAGGCGTTCTTATCTGAAGGCAGTGCCTCATACTGGGGCCTTGGACAGCACAGGCCGGCCTTCAACACTTACGCAAGAGCCAAACCTTTTAGGTGTGTCACACCACCCTTTGGCTTCTTTCTCAGTTTTATTCTCTTAACTAATACTGAAGATGTTCCAAAAGTGGTTTTCTGCTTTATTGTTTCTCTGTAGCCTCTGCATGTTTATGATGCTGCATTGCTTATATGGTAGAACATTCAGGTCTCCTTGGGGACTTACATGAGGCTACTTGCATGAGAGTAGAGTTGTGAAATAAAGAAGCCTGTTTCCTAGAGTTCCAGGTCCTTAGACTCCTGCAGTTCCTCTTCTGCCCCCTCATCCTCTGCCCGCCAGTAGTACCAGCTGCCTCACATCATCCTCTCAGACACCACTGCTTCCTGGACCCCAGCCTCTTTTTCACTGCTACACCGTGCTCTTAGCAAACAATCTGAACATATTTATAGAGGGCAGTAAATAAAGAAAGAAAATAAGTGACATGATGGATGTCAGTTAGCTTGGTTTCATTATTCTGCATTGCATACCTGCATAAAAAATTATATTGTGTCCCATGTGTGTACATAGTTATCGTCTGTTGTTAATCTAATAATAACCTATATTTCTTAATATAGTTTTTCATAAGGAGAATTTGCATTTTCAAGCCATAAGAAGTGCTAAGCTACAGCGGTAAACATCTCGTTGGATATTTTCGGGAGAATCACACTGTCCGTGGCAGCAAGATTGTTGCCGAAAACCTGCTCTGTAGGAGCTTGGGTTTCCTCGGTGGCCTCTGCTGGCGTCTGAGATCTGATCTAGCTGCTCCGTTGCAATCCCATCTGTGGACAGCACGGAGGCTGCTCTTTTCTCAGGCTAGAGAAACTGGGTGGAATGCTCAGGGCGTGCTAACTAGTCTCTAAAACAGTACTTCACTCACCGGCTGTGTGACCACAGTGTTTCATTGCTCGAGCTTTAGCTTTTGGATAGAAGTAAATAGGGTTCTTTCCAGGAGTTTCATGTGGAATACATTGTACATACGGGTGTACAGCATCAGAACATGGACCTCAATGTTTTATTTGCATTTGTGTTTTTCAGAATGGTTATAAAATATTTGAACTATGTTGTGTACCTCCCTTTCAGCTCCATGTTGTGCACTGGAATTCAGACAAATACCCCAGCTTTGTTGAGGCAGCTCACGAGCCAGATGGACTAGCTGTCTTGGGAATATTTTTACAGGTGAGAATCGGTCTCATTTTAAAAGATAAGCCGTGTTGGGTAAGGAGATTCAGTGATGGCATATACATTCAACTGGTTATATAGTAAACTAGTTCCAGATGTAGTATTTTCATCTTAAACTGAATGTTAAAAAGTACTATTTGAGAAGCATTGTCTTATGAGTCTACTAATTATCCATTAATAATTTTTATGTGAGTAGCACTAACAGCATCCACAGTGAGAAGAATAGCAGCAGAAATAACAGCTGAGATCCACAGAAGAAAATGTTTATTCGAGGCTCATTCTGATCCTTGATTTCAGCATGTAGAGACAGATTCCAGAGAAAAGTTTAAGCTCATGATTCTTGAAGCGCTTGCTTGACCACAGTGGGGTGTTGGTTCAAGTACACGGACCACATAAAATTTTCTGTTTTATTTCCCTTTGTCTAATACTCACATGTGGACAGACCAGTGTTGCTGTCCTCATACCTGAGGACAGGCTGAGCCGCTCACCTCCCACAGCTGCCGCATTCTTGCAGGGCGTGCAGTTCTGCCAGGCCACATTCTCTGTGTGTGATGTTGTAATTCATGGAACTGGGGCTGGGCGGTGAGGCGCGGGCAGAGGCGGGGAGTGTCACAAGCAGTGGAACATCTTTACCTTTTGGCCCCCGAGTCTGGGTGGTGGCAGATGGGGCCGATGAATATACTTTAGTGTGGAAAACTATAAAAATTTTAGGTAGATTCAGAGCACCCTTGCTAATGAAAAGATATACACAAATTCATATCTTTATATTTATGATGTATTTGCTTATGAAGGTGTATCCCCTTGACTTGCGACTTCAGATCATTTTAGGCTGCAAGTAAGAGAGGTTTTCATCTAATGTTTTGAGAGCCCAAATTTTTTATATCATCCTAAGGAATTTGAATCCAGGGTTTGAATGTCATCACTTGCTTAATATTGCAGGTATTTTGTTAGTTTCCTAAGGAAGGTTTCTCTGAAATTGACTTATGTCTTGAACATTCATAAAGTTTAAAAAACTTTAAGCTGTTAGTATCAGTTTTGGAACTGAACTGAAAGTTCAGGATAGGACTCCTGTAATAGTATCTTGCTTGAATTCTTCTGGCATAATAGGGCTGTTAGGTAAAGAGAACCTTTGTTCCTGAATAATCTTTCTACTGTCCTGGCTTGGGTTTTTAGAAAATAATTTAAAAATACTGATTGTAATGGAGAATTTTATTAATTTTATAGACCTGATATGCTACCATAACTATTTCTTTTAAAATTTCATGTTTTTAGACTGGTGAACACAATCCTCAGCTGCAAAAGATTACTGACATTTTGGATTCCATTAAAGAAAAGGTGAAATAAGTTATTATTTGCTAATGACTAACATCTTCCTTCTCCCTTCTTGAATTTTCTTATTTTTCTATAAAGACTTAAACCTTAGACGTAGCACATGCTGCCTATTTTGAAGCAAGTTTGTAACATACTTGGCCAAAAATGCAGAAGTAACTTACTATTACTTATCTGTTAAAAATTGTGAAGGGTTTTACATTATCTAAGATAGTCATTAATAAATCTCTTTGTGCAAAATTAGTTTCTGGTATTTCAGTTTTGGAGACTAAGTTAATTGTAACACATTTTAAAGTATACCTATATAAAAAAGAACCTTGTGCATCTTAAATAATCCATATGATGTGGTACTTTCATATTTTTTAGATGAAGGCAGGTATTTTTTTTTTTGTCTTTTTGAGACAGGGTCTTGCTATGCAGTTCAGGCTGACCTTGAGCTCACTTTGTAGCCCAGGCTGGCCTCGAACTCACAACAATCCTCCAAAGGCAGGTATTTTTTATACACTAAAGGAAGATACTAAACAATTTCATTAGGTGTAAGTTGTCTTTCTGTGTAATTCTACACCATTGTAACTTGTGTGAATTTTCTTTGTTTTCTCAGGGAAAACAAATTCGATTCACAAATTTTGACCCATTATCTCTTCTTCCCACATCCTGGGAATATTGGACATACCCTGGTTCTCTGACAGTTCCACCTCTTCTTGAGAGTGTCACATGGATTGTTTTAAAACAGCCTATAAATATCAGCTCGCAACAGGTATGTCTTTTCTTCCAGGTGGACTTTGATTCCCTTAGGGAAACTGAATAGAATCTTTGTGCGTATGTGTGTGTGTGTGTGTGTGTGTGTGTGTGTATGTGGTGCTAGGGTTGAACTAGCACCTCACACTTGCTAGGCAAGAGCTGTACCACTGAGCTTCACTTCTGGCTCTCGAATCTTTGTTCTGCTTTGTTTTGTGTTTTTGAGACAAGCTCTCGCCATGTAGTTCAGGCTAAGACTGGAGGTGTGGGTTTTGTAAAACCTTGTACAATTTCTGCAGTGCTATGAAGCTTGTGCTTTCCCTTGTTTAGTCAGGCAGGTAGTTGGATTAGATTATTTTCTGTGCTTTCTGATTTAACCTTCTGTGATTATTGGTCCCTTATCTCTGCTTGATTAGGTTATTTCTTTCTCACTTCTTAGGAATGTAATGTACATAAATACAGCCAAGGGAGTGAAACCGTTTTGAATGCTCTAATCATTTGCTTTTGCTTGCTTTTGTTTGGTTTGAAATACAAGCGGGCTGGGATACAGACAGGAAAACCGGGAGAGGGGTCACCCATAGAAGGTGACATTCTTCTTTCTGATCTTAGTCCCTAGACGGCTTCTCCACAGATTTGGAAGTGAATTTTGAGAATAGTAACAGGTGTAGTACCCTTAGAAACAAGGGTGGCTGCTAAGTTTTAGGTGTCATAGTGCGCACTTAACAATTCAAGACAGTAGATGTCACGTTGCTTTCAAAGTCATTTTTTGGCTTTGGTTGGCAGAACTTGTAGGGCTGCCTGAAGGGCTTTTAGCATTTGCTAAGAGGCTGTGGTGTGGCCACCTGTGCCCTGCTTGTGAAGACGCTTACTCAGTTATTTTTCTTTAATTAACTGTTTGCAGTGCTAGGGATCAAACTCAGGGTCTTATGCATGCTAGTCGGGCACTTGTTCACTGAGCTACACCTCCAGCCCTTCATTTTTTCTGTTGATTGCTTACTGAGCCCCACAGTAGGCCAAGCAGTCTGCCAGACTTAGGGTGTCTTTAGCACCCAGAAACTCTACTTGAAGCGCTGAATTGTGTGACTGACCTGTGTATTCTGTTTGCTGTGATTCTCCGTGCATTTCATTTGAGGTTTTGTTATTCTTATATTAGGTGCTGCAATATCTTAACAGTAACATAGATTGATAATTTTTGCAACTAATAAAGTACTTCTTCCTGCTCCAGGCTTACCCCGCTGCCTGGCTGTTTATGCCACCATCTTAAATCAAGACTGGTTCCCTTTCACCAAAACCATTCCACGCAACATTTCTTCTTGGGGTGAACACATTAACTTTCTGTTGGGTGTTTCTCTTCATTGACATTGCCTTGAGGATTACGGATGGATTTCAAATTGTTGTGCACTTTTTAAAACATTTTATGAAAATCTGGATAGAATCAAGAGCTTAACTGACCTGAAAATGCCTGTGATTTTTTTTCCATCGTTGTATCATGAGAGAATGACCCGCTTTGGTGGCTTATCAATGGAGCTTACGTTTCTCTCTTTAAAACTGTTACTTTTACATTCCTTTATTAAATTTAAACAGCTTAGTAATAAATATTAACTACATCAAAGTAGGTAATAATAAGGGGATCATATTTCCCCTCCCATTTCAAGGATATGTTTTCTCTTTAAAGCCAGTTGGAAAATTGTTTTGTTGTTGTGTTTTTCATCCAATCCTCCAGTGATTTGGAAGAGACTATGTCAAAATGTATTACTTAATTTTTAAAAAAGAATAAATTACCTTATTAATAATAACTCCCTGCAAATTTAGGAATTATAACCACCTATCTGTGAATTTACTACTGTGTCTTATTTGAGGCTCTTTGAATGAATATTATTAATGTGGTTTTTATGCAGGAAAGTATATAAAACAAAAGTTCATTTTAGGTCTCCAGTGATATTGGTAATTCATTTTAAAACATTAACTTGAATCTATTGTAGCAGGAACTCTTAAACATTTTAATTTTTAACCAGATTGAGAAAGTTATTTATTAATAATTCAAATGATTATAATAAAATATTATGGTGATGTTAAGAGTTAAAAATGAACCAAAAGAGTGTTTAAAAATCCAATCCCAGTCTAACCATGAGAAAAATACCAGGCAAAGACCAGCTAAGGAGCATTCTATAACATACCTAATCAGGACTCCTCAAAACTGTCATTGTTCCTCAAAAGCAAGGTAGATCTGAGAAACTGTCATAATCAAGAAATGCTGAAGGGGATGTGGTTGTTAAGTATAATGTTTCCTGCATTGGGACTATGAAACACAAGAAGATATTTGGTAAAAACAAAAAAAATCTGAATAAAAGTTCAGATAGCGATAGCATCTGATAGTGGTGTATTAATTTTGGAAAATATACTAATGTAAAATGTGAATAGGGGAACCTGAAGGAGGCATATGTGGGAAATATGTGTAATATCTGCAGCAATTCTGTAAGTATACAACTGCTCTAAAATAAAAAGCTTATTTTTAAGGCATGAGAATCAGTAAAGTTAGCTTTTACATAGATTAAAATGAAAACCTTATTTCACTGATTTAAAGAGTTATTTTACAAAAGATAATTTCTAATTGCAATTTTGGCAGCGCTTGTTGAAGGGCAGCCATTGAGAACTATTTTTATTTTCCAGTTTCATCGTCAAATGCCGCTAGATATGAGGAATCAATCCTTATAAGATGGTGCCAGATTTTTTTCTAGGATTTTCTATTGCTGTTTCTTACCAAGTCACTGTTTCACCTACAGGGAAAAGTAGATATTTAAATTTTCTTTTTCTTGATTCAAATCCATTTTTCTCCCTTAGAGTCCCTCAGCAAGTACTGAATTCTTGATTTCGCTGCTACCCCAGTGAGCAGATAGAGTGTTTTATAATGGCTTTAATAATAGATCTGTCATTTTCTCTGGAAGCCTGACTTTTCTTGCCAGGTCTCTTTGGATTATCCTAAGTCCTCTGAATTGATTTACTCACCTGCTGAAATTCAACATGCAGAGTGCTTGGCTTTAATTCTGTTCTCCTTACAAAGACATTCCTAGCGTATTTCCATTTGTGAAGTATTTATTCAAATAATTTGCCCACTTTTAAATTGGATTTTCCTTCTAACGAGTATCCTTATGTCCTCTTTCATTCACTCCTTTCGTCTTCTAAATAGTCTTCCCTCTACTTTCATGTTATTTTTTTAGATTCCACATATGAGAAAAAAATATGGTATCTGTCTTTTTGAGTGGCTAAACATGATCTTCAGTTCTACCCATTTTCCTGCAAATGACACAATCTGTTCTTTTTCATGGCTGAGGAATGCTGTGCTGTGCACATTTGCTTTACCCGTCCATCTGCTGGTGGGCACGCACGCGGCTGATATCATAGCTATCGTAAATCCTGCTGCGGTAAGCAGGGCACAAACCTGGCTCAGAGTGGGCCCTGCATGTGAAAGTGGCAGGCAGGCCTAGAAAAGTTTGTTGGAACCTGGTGGTCTAAGGTTCACAAACCACACTGGCAAATTTATTTGGGCTGCTTAAAATGTTAAAAAATTTTAAAGATACGTTTTGAAATATTTGTGCTAAAAGGCATGATTCTCAGAATTTGCTTCCAAGTAATCCGATTTGGCGAAGGAGGCAGTGAGAACGGGGAGGAATACGGGTGGAAAAGGTGGGTGTCTGTCAAAAGTGAAGCTGCGCGGTGCATTCTTCGTGGTTTATTAAGCTGCTCTTTATGTGTGTTTGCTTCACTGCTCTACAATTAAAAGAAAGCAGGAGGAGATGGGGGAAAAATGAAAATAGAAAAGAAATTTGCTTTTGCAGTTAGTTCATGACATATTGCCAAACAACTTATTCAGTGAAACTTCTCAGCTATCTCTCAAGAGCCGCATATGTCAAATGGGATAATAGTGCATTAGTGGTAGGGTAATTGGGATTAAATGATATAATTAGAATGTAATAAAAAGTACTTAGTGCCTGGAACACCATATTCTGTCAAAGAGCTTATTTTGTTATTACTCAATGTTAACAGGCTGCAGAATGCTATTCAAGATGGTAGAGCTCAAGCATAACATAAAATTATTCACAGAATCTTTGGAAAAATGTTTCATCTTACTGGGTTGCTCCCTGGGTAAATTAGAATTTCAGTGTTAGAGCCAAGGAAACCAGCAAAACTGGTCCCACCTACCTCAGCTTCAAGACTGAACTTGGGCCGCTCCTGCTGGGAGCCTGTGGGTGCTCTGCCAGCCCGAGTGACAGAGGGGCAGATTTTCTATGTGAACGACCCCCCCCATACCTGTGTGAGGAGATATGACTGATAGGGACCGTCAGGGAGGAGTGGGAGTCGCAGGAAGCAGATCTGGGTGGCTGTGGACAGTACTGAGCCCTACCTAGCTGGGCCAGGTAATTGGGAAACTCTTCAAGGGAAGAGATTTTGATGAATACATCAGGAGAGGTTTAGAGACTCAGCAAAATGAGCAAGCTGGTCAGAAATGATCTGAAGTAAGATTCAGTTCTAAACTGATGATGCCAAGGTGGTACAGAAATAGCCATGATCATTGTCTAGAGGAGTTGAAGTGTGCAATGTGCACACGTGTGTGTGTGTGTGTGTGTGTGTGTGTGTGTGTGTGTGTAAAATAAAGCCATGGCTTCCTGTGGTATCAGCTGAGGAGACAAGTTGTGCTTGATGAGATCCGTGGAACAGCATCCTGATTTACAACTCAGATTCCTTCACAACCTCCTGGAGTAGCCTCTCCACAGCAACTTAGATTATCATGGTCTGTAGAAGGTTTGATGTCTTCCCAGAAATCAGATTTTATTGGCCTCTGCTCCTTGACTTCACCAGAGATTCCCTTAACTTCCATCTGGCTTTAGCTATAATGATAGGTCTAATGAAGCATGAGTAACAGTACACTGTAACCATTGTATCATCCTTTCCATATCTGGAGTCAAAAAAGGCAATACAAAATATCACTTGTGGAAATACAAAGTTTCTTTCTTTTTCTTTTTTTTTTTTTTTTTAACCGGGAATCAAACTCAGGACCTCCTGCTTGCCAGGCAGGCGCCGAGTCACTGAGCTATACCCCTGGCCCGGAGTTTCTTACTTATGATGAATAATTCTGTCTTCCTGGCCATAAATGATTGCCATTTATTATGAAGACTGCCCCCCCCACACACACACACACACTGCTGGCTTTCTTCTCTCCCCTTCTCTTCTCTTCCTTTTTGTTGTTTTCTGAGTCAGGGTCTCACATGTATGTTAGGCTGGCCTTGAACTCACTGTGGAGATTAGGCTGGTCTTCAACTTGTAGCAGTCCTCCTGCCTCAGCCTCCCAGGTGCTGGTATTACAGGCGTGTGTCACCATGCTCAGCTCCCCTTGCTTTCTATCCTGGTTAATACATACAAGAACTATTTCAGCCTCAGGTAAATGATAATGATGGAGACCTAACTGATATGTCTTAGTCTCAATTTGCTTGATTTTGAGATTAGGTGACAAAAAAAGTTTAGAAGATGGAGGCTGTCATCCACAATAGTTTACTAATTTGTCCTCATCAAAATGCTAAAACAAATATCAAATAGAGCAATGAATTTGTAATAGAGCCTTTCAGCAATCAAAACTGGTCATGTAAAATTTGTGCTTATTGCCATGCAAAAATGCCTGCGACATACAAATTAAGTGGAAAAATCAGGTTTAAAACAACATGTATAATTGCAACCATTTTTGTAATAGAACATGTCCAGTATATGAGTGTGTGTGTGTGTGTGTGTGTGTGCGCGTGTGTGCTGTGTGTGTGCATGGAAAACCGTTCTCTGATTTTTGGATGTGTGCCCTTCAAGCCACATTCTAAATGTTGTTTCTTCTTGTGACTTTGCTTTTGGAACAAAGAATGCTTATATATTGAATTTTGGAATAGCGTCTCTATAATGAAGAGAATTAGCAGAAGAATTCTTTATGATGTAAAAGGCATAGTTTAGACAGTTTCTATTGCAATATTTTTAGTTCCTCATAGAGGAAAATCTATCAATTTCTTAATTTTTCCATGGGATTCATAAAGATTGATGTGACTTTCCATGCTGAAATTAATTCTGTTCTTTTGTTGTCAACAGCTGGCCAAATTCCGCAGCCTCCTGTGCACATCAGAGGGAGAGGAAGCAGTTTTTCTGTTGAGCAATCATCGTCCACCTCAGCCTCTGAAGGGTCGCAAAGTGAGAGCCTCATTTCGTTAACAGTTGCCCTCAGGGGCCAGCCTGACATGACTGGAGAGATAGCAGCAAGACAAAACACAGATCTCCCTAGTAGCAGTGCTTCTCTGAATTCTAATTTATGGGTACCACTTTACTATCAGCTTCAGCACCATGAAGAAAACTGCATCTCTTTAATTGAACTAACTTAGCTCATCTTGTCCCAGGTTTTCACTTATGAATATTCAAGCACCAAGCATTGTCTTTTGTGTATTCAAATACATGGAAAGCGTCTACTTCAATCTTTGTGAAAATATGGCTGGCCTCACAAATCTCAGAATGTGCTAAAAATTCTACCTTCCTGCAGGCTGTGTTACGTCTCCACTGATATTTGATGAAAAATTTAAAATTTATCTCCAAAATGATAGAATTGTGCTTTTTCTAAACAGGCAATTCTTAGTATTTTGATACTGTTCATCAAAAGTAGGTATTTCCTTTAAAGTGAATTTTTACAGTGATTGTGTTGCTGACTTTCATTTTGTGATGCTTTTTAAAATGTGATACTGAGGATTGAACCCAGGGCCTTTGCACTGAGCTGCTGCTTTTGCCCTTTTTCAGTTTCTGTTTGAGCTGGTTTTCTTAAGTTTCTAAGTTGGTTAAGCTGAGCTTGAGTTTGGTACCTTTCTGTGTTAGACTTCTAGGGTGCTGGAATTACAGGCCTGGGCTACCAGGCTGGCTTGTGATACTCTTAATAAAGTGCACAGTATGAGAGCTGGTGCTGGGATGGGATGAAGCTACTCAATTTTCACTGTGATTATGGAATTATGGAATTTACTATGATTATTACAGATCAAAGACAACCTATATAGCTTTGGTGAGGGATTCCTCAGGATATAAATAGCTATTTGCACATAATGAATTGTGCCATATATCATATTCATTCAATAGTGTTCATGAGGAAGTGACTGGTAATTGACAAGATGCAGTGTTTGCCAATTGGTGCCATTAGTGTGGTTCGAAACTAACAGATTTAGATAGTGCACACAGACAGAGCTATGCGTGAGCATGATAACAGGGCTGCCTTCTTTCCCCCTGTGTTTTGACAGCAGAGCGGGGAGCAATGCTCTGTGGGTCATTTTTCTCTCAATGAGTGAAAAAATATATACAGTGAATCTCACATAAATATACATTGATCCCTAAATTCTTCAACTCATTTCTGGGGCAAAGCCCATCTCCCCTCTTATAAATGCCCCTCAACGTCATAAGTACTTTTGTAAGGTGGCACTTGATATGAACTTGAACCTATTCTCTCTTGTTTGTTTTTGTGGAGAAGGGTAGCACAGTGTTCCTTTTGTCTCTTCTGTTATGGGGTGACACCGAATATTAAATTAATAACTATATTTAAGACTTGAACACATGCCAGGCATCTGTCATCTTCCAAGGGAAGTTTACTTGGGCTTACATGTTTTTAATTCTTCCTTCCTTTGAATACAGATTTAATAATCAAAATTCTTCTGTAATAGTGTCTCTAATAAAATAACTAAGTATCAATACATATGTTAGAATACTTACCAGCTTCTGAAGATTAGATCTGAGACCTTGGCTAAGATTAACATGTGATAAATATTTAATGAATTGAGTATTTAACAAATATATTTTCTATCCGTGGTTATTATCTCTCTGCTGGAGCTCAAATGCACTATAAATTAATCTCACAAGTAAAATATGTTATTTCTTGAAATTATTTTCTTCAAGGAATATTTATTAAACCTAATTTGTATAAGTGGAAGTTTTTATGCTTTTAAAACACAGTATTGAATGGGAAGGGCTTTTCTTTAGTTTGGAAAGACACTTTACAAAGCGTCCTAGTAAGGAAAAGAATTTTATAGACTCAGAGACTGGAACTGGTGGGATTTGGATGGTGTGGAGTGGGATTTCAAGTACTACTCTGTAAGAGAGTTGCCGTGTTACAATTTCTGGCTTCTGCTGAGATATCCCATCAATTCTACGGTACAGATTGCATCTTAGTAGACTGAAAAGGTCTACCCAACACTGATTTCCTTGAAGATTGTCTGCTTATTTATATAGCTCCTACAGGCAAAAGGTTGAAGTATGTTCTAAAATTGCTATATTCTTCCATTTTAAAAAGTTAGTATTGTAAATACTACATCTGTTTTGTTTCACACAACATATGTTAGATTTATGTCTGTTAAATGTTTTGTATTATAATTTAAATTTGACTCAACCATAATAAAAAATGAGGAAACCTTTCAACTGTATCAGGGCCATGTATATGCAATCCCACAATTAGAGGTCACTTCTACAGTTTTTTAAAGAAAATAATCTCAAACTCAGAAACACTGCAAACAAAGTACAATAAAAACCTGCAATTCTCTGAATTATTTTAAAATAAGTTCACCATCTGGGTTCCTCACCATATCACACACTTTAGTATATATTTGTATATTTGTTTCCTACATGCTAGAAAAAAATACATTTTCCTGTATAACCACAAATAAAGCTGAAACCATCATGAGACTCACATTGCTGTAATGTAGCCCAAACCCTTGGAGAGCAGTTTGTTCATCTACTTGTCATGTTTCCCTCAGTCAGGACCTGGGTCTCAGCCTTTCCTTGGTTTTCATAATCTGTACAGTTTTGAAGGTTGCAGGCCAGGTATTTTACAGACTGTCTCTCACTTTGCATTTCCTCAGCATTTTCTCTTGCTTGGATTCAGATTCTGCCTGGTTGGTGGGAACATCACAGACGTAACACTGTGTTCTCTTTGCATCCTGTCAGGCAGCCAGTGTTAATTTGATTTGATTTATTATAGAGTATCTACTTCCATCACTTCATTAGAATGGTGTCTGCTAGGTTTCTTCATTGGAAAGTGACTTTTACTCTTTGTAATTAACAAATACTAGAGAGGGGGATTCGTTTAACACAATGGAAATATCCTATTCCTCAATAAACTTCCAATTTATTGATTTACTTCCACCATGGATGTAGAGATTCCTATTTTTCTTAAGAGACTATATATCCTGTTACTATCATTAATTTACTTTTTCTGATGCTCAGGTATTTTTCTTGATGTAGCCAGTAGGTGCATCTTTAAGTTGGCTTCAGTATCATTTTGACATGTCCCCACTTCTTTATTTTCTAACAGTCGTATGATGTTCCTAACTCATGGGTTACTTTTCCTTCCCCAGACCTAGAATCAGCCATTTCTTCATCAAGCCCTGGTCTCTTAGTGCAAGATAATATGGAAACGACCAACATCTAGGCACTAGATAAACTCAGTGCTATGGGAGTATTGATACTCTGAGACCCTCTCAGGGAACAGAAATGACAATTGTATACATATGTACATATATATATATATATACACAGTATACATGTCTACAGGTTTACATATTTTTTATTTTTTTAATTTATTTTTTAAATTATCTTAAAAAGTAAAAGAAGGATAACATAGTAACAGAGGGGCTTACTGAATTACAGACAAAGTGGTAGGAAATTATCAATGGTTGTTGTTTTACATATTGTTATCTACAAGATAGTTTCTCAGGAAAACAAATAGACAAATAATAGTGAGTTACAGACAAAAGTGATAGGAGATTATCAGTGGTTATTGTACTATACTTTGGTATCTTCAAAGTGGTTTCTAAAGAAAATAAATAGAGCTATACATGAGTGACCAATTGAATAATCATTGACTATTCTCAATGGTGTCGTAGGAAACACATAGTAATAAACATACATCCATTTACAAAATAGCATAGGAACAATGCAAACATTACAGAGTTATGGACAGATTAGCAGGAAAATATCAGTGGCTGCTGTAATACCTGGTGGTATCTTCAAAGTGGTTTCTTAGGAAGACAGAGATATGCAAGAAAGATCTAACAAGTAGTTACAGCCTAAGGGTTGTGAAAAATAGAATATTACGTCCTCACCAGTGACTCAATTCACTGAGGTGTGACAGCTGGAAGGAAGGCCAGGATTGAAAAGAAAGATTGAGAGGCTTGTACCTGTGTCTAGCAACAGGCTGTTTTCTTTTTCCTTTAGAGTCATGATTACCCGGGGCTCCTCCATGGAGATGACAGTCTGGCCAGAGGGAGAAGGCAGAGTATTCCACAGGCCCCCTCATTCCTGTTGGACTAACTGGTAGGATAAGTCTGAGCTCTGGGGCCTCTGCTTCAGAGGGCAGACCAATCTCCAGTGGTCACCTTTGGATTCAGGGCATGGCCCAGGGGGCTTCTTAGGGCAGTTCCTCTTGAGGTGGCCTGGCTTTTAACAGTGATAGTAGATGAGTGTAGTTGTCGAGTTCTTCTTGGGGCCCTGAGAATCAGACTTAGGGTCTGTTTCTCTTGGTGCTGCATCAAAAGCAGCTGCTTTTTCTCAGTCTCTTTGTTTTCTCTCCTTGGCCTCCTCCTCATCACAACTCTAGAATACTGAGGAGGCAAATTCTAACTCTCAAGTGAGCCATTTGGGGCGAAAGCCATTTTTTGTAGCTTTTTCTCTCTAGCCTCCCATTGCATTGGGACCCTGCAACCACTTAGTGTCCTCTCCTCAACCATCATCACAGGCAGCAGGAATCTCTGTGCAGACCTCTCCGGAGCTTCATTATGCTCCTCCATCACAGCCTGTACTGTCAGGGGAAGAATGGCTTCCAGGGGATCTCCTCAGGTATTGCGCAAGGTCTTCCTGGTTTCCAGCTTCCAAATGGCTCTCATGACCCCAGTCAACTAGACCTCTGAGTCTTCAGGAGTAGTCTGTATTCTCATGTTCTCCGAGTCCTTGTTCAGCAGCTGCTCCTCCACTGACTCTGGACCTTTCTGGATCTCAATGGCAAGGGCAAGAGTGACCTGTTGTGTGGCGTGTATTCCCAGTGGTTTCACCATGTCTGGATGATTCACGCACGTCCCCAGGCGGGCCTCCATGGCTGGTGTGTGGCAGGCCAATTGTGACATGCTTCACATGCCATTGCCATGATAGTTCTCAACCAGGTGCCTGTGCAGCTAGGATCCGGGCCAAAGGCTGACACTCCCCACCACGCAGCTTCCCAGGCACCAGCCTCCACATATTTTTTAAAAAACATGATTTTAAATTTGTATCTCCAGAGGTGGGCATGGTGGTGCACACCTGTAATCCCAGCACTTGGGAGGCTGAGGCAGGAGGATTGTTGTGAGTTCAAGGCCAGCCTGGGTTACAAAGTGAGCTCAAAGCCAGCCTGAACTGCATAACAAAACCCTGTCTTGAAAAAGACAAAAAAAAGAAAAACAAATAAAAAATAAATTCATATCTCCAGTTTCAATCCAACGCTACAAAATTCATGATACTTTTTTTTCCCACTTCTATCTTTCTATCTCACGTTTCAAACTGAGAAACCTGCTTTCCATCATCCTCAATATATTTACTCATTTGGCCCATTTTTCTGTGCAAACCAGTTCTCATCTCCCACCCCCGATGCACAGAGGCCGCCTTCTCCCAAGAGGCTCTGATGTCCTGTACTGGGTGCTTTGTCCTCTGTGACCACATAGCGCCCCCTTGCGTGGCTGTTTCTCATTACACCTCCAATTTATTAATTTATTTCCACTACCTACTGGATTTCTGACCAAAATGCTTGGGTACAAATGAGAAGGAAGGAGAAAATAAAGGAAAGGGAAGAGCAAGATTACATTTAAAAATATTACTGAGCTATTATTTTTCTTCCTCATACAAGGTTACTGAAAATGTAGCTGTACTTATACACATTACATCATAGGTAGCAAGAGATGGAGCATTTTGTAAAAGGCTTTTAGGGCATTCTGAGTGGGGCTGCAGGAAATATAGGCCAAGGAATAACAGTCTTGCTTTTGAGGCTGCAGAAGCATCCTGACCATGTATAAGTAACTCAACTTGCTCGCATTTTATTAAAGATAAAATTCTTTATGTTAATGTGTCAATAACTTTGAAAATGTAAACTTCACTCAAAGGATGATTTTTCAAGTTGCTACCATTGTTTAGTATAATTGATATTTGCATGACAGTTTTGGGGGGAGGGAATAAACACCGTAAGAGAAAGACTATTAACATGATATGACCTAGTCAGTAATCTGAGTGTTTGGATAAACAATATAAATTTGAACCAGCTTGCAATTTTTCCAGGATGCTTACCTGTCTCCTAACACCAGGCAACATGATGAATGCACAGAAAATAATCAATGTTGGTGAAGATAAAACACTTTTATTGGGTTGAATCAATGGGATATTTCTCTGGTGTGGCTAGAAACCCACCTTTGTCTTCCTGGAGAGGAATTATGACAATCAGGAATTCTCTTTCATTCTCACTGCCGTGGACTGGGAGACGTCTACGTGAGAAGACACTCACCATTTTCTTCCTGCATTTTTCGCACCAGAATAAGTCACCCAGGAGAAGGAAGCTGTTCCATTAAATGTCCTTGTTTTCAGTATAAGCTCTTCTGGGTGAAAAGGGCAGTCAATTTATTTTAGCTGTGCTCACAGAGTAGCAGTTCTAAAAACTATGGATTTGTGTCTCAATAAGAGCACATGAAGCTAAGTAAACCTTAAGTTTTTTATGAAAGGTCTGATTTAGCAAAAACTGTCAAACAAAGGTTTTGTACTTTAAAAAGGGCTTCTGCAAATGACTACCTTCATGGCGATGAATATGGACATCTCTGGTTAGCTGGTGCTGGAAGGAGCTGGAAGTGTAGGGAGGCTTTCTGAAGGCCCTGAATGCAAGTGCATGGTTAAATGCAATTGCTTTAAAATAGGAATGGCAAGGTGTCAGCTTCTCACAGGAAGACAGAAAACACTAGAATTTCAAACAGAAGATGTGAATGCTTGGAATTACATGATGTAAATTATGAAAAATGCTGAAAAACCTTGCAGAGGAGAGGGAGACAGCCAAGAGACTGGCAAGAGCAGGAAACTCCTGTCTTCCTTAGGGGAGGCAGTCTTCCTGGAACCCATGGTCCAAGGACACACAAATAAAGTTGAAACAAAACTAAGCCTGATCCTAACACAGTCTGGGTATTTTTGGAGAGATCCAGCTATTATCTTGAGGCAGAGACAGGAGGTTCTTCAGCTGATGGTACCCATTCCTGGAACTTCAGACAACACAGAAATATGTGAGTTCATCCCCTTTGCTAGAGAGTACAGATTAGTGCGGATGTTTCCACTTGGATCTGAAGACAAATGGGCTGAGGACCAGCCAAGGAGCCAGGGAAGAGAACCTCCATTATGTATGTCAAGGAAATAGCTATGAGGTTGAACC